AATTTATTTTCCATTTTTCTAAATCACACAGGATCAGCGGTATCCACACAGGCTCAAATATATAGCCCAACTAATATTTGGTTAAATGTCCCTTCTGCAACTTGTACTTCAACGAGATGCTTTAGGTATCAATCCACAATCTTCTGGCATGATTCTGGATATTTGACCAGTCTTTTTGGTAGAATTAGTAGAGTTAATATAAATGGTCTGGTTTCCATTCCAAAACTACTTTTGAAGTGTTTGGCTTGTCTATGTGGGCAGCTGCCTCTTTCTTGGTCGCCACCCTCTCAGTTCAAGGTGTTTCAGCAGTTATCAGTTCAAGATTGAGCCTTGGGTCTTGGGTTTTTCCTGAACATCTTCACCAATTTCCTCTTGTTTGAGAGTGACAGTTTGGGTCTTCTTCCAGACCAAATTGGTGACACATCTCAATAATTTGTACTTATGATCGATGATTGTTTAGAAATCTTTCCAGCTTGTGTAAATCTCCAATTCTCCTTCTTAGAAAACTGTAGATTTAGGGGACTGTATGTATATATTTCAGCCTGTATGTGTACTTTCGATTACGTGTAAATTAGAGAAAATTCAAAATAAATTCTATTCTCGTTTTTTACAGTCATTAAAGAAATCAATGACAATTATTTCAGTTGTTTTCTGGGATTTTGACGCTGATTCATGTGTGACTGCGGGTGTAGAAGGCTTAGTGAGTTAGCGGCAGAGGTCAGAGCAGAAGATGCTGACTTAATAGCTGAGCAGAAAGGTTATGATCCCTCCTCCGTCTGTGTGAATGAATGCTTCTTCTCTGTGCTCAGGAACTTGGAGGATTGTATCAATGTGACTATCCTGCGGCACATGACAGTGAGTACAAAGAAGACATTAATGAGCTTCTCACTACACAGTCTGTATGCCATCGCTCATTTAAACATAAGCTGTCTATGTGCTCCCAAGCATGTGACTCTTAGCTTGCTTCTTCTGACAGGATTAAGCACTTTACATTGTGCTGTGATGTATGTATCGACCGTCTGAGTACAGCTCTGAATGTTTGCATCTTAAAGCCTTCTGGCGTCAGTGTTACTCATGTGTGTCTTAGCCCGTGCTTCATCCTTCATGTATAGTAATGGTGCTGATGTGTGTGTGTGTGTGTGCTACAGAATCCCAAGTCATCCATTATGTCAGCAGAGAAGAGAGCTCGTCTGAGGAGTAATCCAGTTAAAGTGCGCTTTGCAGAGGAGGTGGTGGTCAATGGGCACACTCAGGTGAGAAAACCTTATCTGATACAGAAGGAGGCTGCCAAACAAAAAACAAGCATTTACTGTAAGGCTACAAGCAGCTGTTGGATGACTTTCAATTCACAGTCTTCCACATAATGAAATATTCTTCATTAGGGCTTATGGGCTAACATTTCTTGCAATCATTTAATATTTGATCTTTTCTCATCTGATATCGATTCTGTCTGACCACATCTCTCACTTCTTTCCACCAGGGAAACTCTCTTCTCTTTCTGCCCAATGTTCTGAAAGTCTATTTAGAGAATGGACAGACAAAGGCTTTCAAGTTCGACAACAACACCACCGTCAAGGTATGTAATAAACAGGATTAGAAAGATTTACCTGAAAAGAGCATTTAGCATTTAGAGCTTTTACTTGGTGGCTTTATTGAGTGGCTCCATCGTATAGTAAGTTACACGTTTGCCTAACCAGCAAAAGGGGGTGTGATCCTGGGGCAGGAGGAATGGGGCAAATCCATCCAGGGTTATGTTAGAAATGGCCATATCAAACACGCAAAACTACCTGCTCTGGAAGCCCTCGTGAATAGGAGAACAGCTGAAAGTAGCTCGCTCATTGGCCTGATGGACACAAGAGTTGCTACTTGTTTATCTTTTGATAGATATAGTAACTAAGTGACCCAAGAGATCCCTACATCATTCATGGTTGATATTTTTATTACATAACAACAGTGTGCCCCAGTAATAAGAAGCCGGACGACAGCTATTTTTAGCGTAGTCTTGAGAAATAGTTCTTCTGGGTTTATAAAGGTCTTTCAAAGTTTACCTTTGGACTTTTTCACTCATATTCAGTCTAGTCCTTGTGTCTTTACACACAACAGAAAATTTGGAATAGACCAATTTCAAATTTGAATTTGAATCTATGAGAAGATAACACAGTTTGGCTGGCATAAAATAGTATTTTTGCACCAACAACAAAAAACCCCCAAAACAATTAGCCAAAACCAAGGCATATCTCACCATGGTGTGCAGTGTGCCCTTAAAGAAACTGAGGAAACAGGGTCTTAATCTACTCTTCACTGTAGCCTCATCAGAAATGGTCTCAGTAGAAGGATGGCTGTCAAGAAGGCATTTATAAGGAAAGGAAACAGGGAGAAAAGACTGAGGTACACCAAACTACACAAGAGCTGGACCGAAAACCAGTGTCCAAGTTTTAAATTTTTGGTTCAAACGGTCCTCATGTGTATGGAGGAGGTCAGGAGTTACAGCCATCTGTAAACTGTTAGCAATTGGCAATGGTGAATGATCCCAAATACACTGCCAAAGCATACCTCGATAAAACAACACACAGTTCAAGTCTATCAGTCATGGATTGGCCTCCCCAGAGTGTGGACCTCAACAATATTGAAGCAGTGTGGGATCATTTTGACAGAGAACTAAGTAAAATGAAGCCAACATCCAAAGAACAGATTTGAATGTTTTTCAAGGAGCCTGGAGAACTGAAGACTACTTAAACAAATCACAGGAAGGCCTACCTAAGAGAGTTCAGGCTATGGTGAAGAATAAGGGTGGTCACACCAAATACTGACTTTCAAGCTCATTAGAACTGTATAAACTCTATTGTTGCCCTATATATGGTATGTTTCATGTATGTTTGCATACATAACAATAAATTGCTGCACCTACTTACCATTTTCCTTGCAACATATAAAGAAATGACTCAAGACTGTCCTCTTATGAGTCAATAAAAAGCCCACACAGTTTCTTAAAACCACCACGAGACTGAGCACACAGGTGAATGTAGCTGTGAGATGCTTGGTAGGACCAGGTGGGAGTATTTTGAAATTAAGTGCACCAGAAGCTAAGGTATGATTTCCCCCAAAGGTGTCACAGTGTGGGTTGGCTATAACAGTTGTAGTTCATTGGGAGATATTGTTTCTGAAAAAGAAAATTATGAAAAGGTCAGTAAGTCACCATCAGTAGGTACATGCTTCTGTCTTTATGAGCAGGGTATTATTTTTACAGCAGCTTTTGTATTTCTGTTTGTTTTCCCAGCTGAAGGAAATCTGAGACAGGGAATCAGATTTGTCCCTTTGCCCTCAGCAGAGTGGGACGAAACATGTTTGTCTAAGAGGTGTGAGCTGTTGGTTTTTTTTGTCATTCCAGGACATTGTTCTGACTCTGAAGGATAAGCTGTCCATCCGGGCCATCGAGTACTTCGCCCTGGTGCTAGAGCAACAGTACAGCATCACCAAACTGCTGCTACTGCATGAAGATGAGCTCATTCAGAGGGTGAAGGAAAAGAATCCATGTGGAGATATCTCGTAGATATGTATGAAGATTAAATGCTACAACTTTCCACCTCTATCTTTTGTCTTCACCAGGTGGTGCAAAAGAAAGACTCCCACGATTACAGGTGTCTGTTCAGGGTTTGTTTCATCCCCAGAGACCCAGGAGACCTACTGCAGGATGACTCCTCTGCCTTTGAGTACTTCTTTTTACAGGTCAGAGAAGCTCCTTTATTTGTTGTCACCATTACGGTCATACATTGTTCATCTCAGAGACTTTTGCTCTGAATTATTTCGCAATTAGACTTTGGTCCTTTCTCTGCGTATGTACAGAAAATAAAACTTTGTACCCACTTTATGCTGAGTGTGCTCTGAAATTCTTCGAAAATATTGCAAAAGTAGCTCTGAAGTCAACATGCAGCCCCTTCTTATATCTTCATGGCCTTATCCCTATAACTCGTTGTTCACATTCTTTAGTCCTTCTTTTGTACAAAGCAGTTACATACTTGCTCTGATGATGCTAAGTCTTGATATTGCTACATGTGGCCTGTGTGTGTTTTTGTTGCTCACTAAAGCAGTGGGGAGTGCCGCTTATGTCATGCCAATTTACTGTTTCATTGTCTTCGCCGATTGTGTTTTCCCTGTCAGTGTCAGGTCGCTGGTTTACTTACAGATATGCTGATGAGCTACGTGCTTTGCATTGTCTGACATGCAGAGTATGCTGGGACAAAAATCAGGTCACTGTAAGGTGCGTGTGTATTATGTAATACTAAAACTGTGATTATTTCTGCCTGCAGAGTGTTGGCGATGTGCTACGGGAGCGTTTCGCGGTGGAGATGAAGTGCAACACTGCACTCCGCCTGGCAGCCCTGCACATGCATGAGAGACTAGATAGTTGTGGACAGACCAGAGCCTCAATCAAGAGTATTACGTGAGTCATAGGCGTGGGAGAGTTTCCGTTTAGGGGTCACACTAGTAGGACACTGTAATTGTGGTACTTCTCATTATAGGTTTTGAGTAATAGGGCCATGACATTTTTTCACTGCTGCAATTACTGTGATTTGTCTAGGATGAGGCAGCTCACTAAATGCCTAATCTATTAATGTGATGGGAGAGGTTTAGTGGGTGTGTGCAGGATATTTGCCCCATTACTTGAGAGTGGAAGTGTCTCAAAATGCAAAGCAAACATCCATTTTTTCAAAGGATTGCGGCCTGGTTGTCATACATTGTTGTACATTGTATATATTGTAGTACAGAGTAGTTATCTGTACTTTTCTATACTTATCCCACAAGTTATAATTGTGAAGACAACTTGCAATTAATGGGACCGAAAGCTGAAATATGACTGTTTAATAATATCTACTGGTAGGTTTTTTTTTTGGTTTGTTTTTTTAAAGAAATAAAGCTCAGTGAAATTTCTGAATTTAACTTCCGATATTAAGTGTATCTTTGTCCTTACATTACAACCTCTTTTCACTTTTCATGCATTTCTTTGTAACATTTTATTCACTGAGTACTTTCATGCCTCTGCAAATGTGGCGTTGACAGGAAGGAGTTCGGCTTGGACAGCTTCATCTCTCCTACACTGCTAGGCAACATGAGAGAGAAGGACCTGAGGAAAGCCATTAGCTACCACCTCAAAAAGATCCAGTCCCTGCTAGAGCCACGCCAGAAGGTAAATGGATAAGTGGAAGGAAAATGTGAGAGGTGTAAAGAGACACATAGTGACAGCAGTGACTTCAGGCTACGTTTTAGCTGAGATGTATGAGGACTGCTAATCTTCCTAAGGTTTAAAGTGGTATATGGAAGAACAGCAGCTTGGAGGAAAAATAGATGCTGAGTAGGAGGCTAATTAAAAAGGTGAATAGTCAGTATCAGGCTTGGGTAATGCCACCCACCGACTTTTTTGTCTGTCTTGCTCATACTGTATATCTTCTCTGTGGTGTTATAGGTAATATCTGCCAATCAGGCTCGTTTGGCCTACCTCACTCAGCTGGGAGAGCTCATTTCTTATGGGGGACGGTCGTACACAGCCACAATGATGGTAAGGGCTAAAGGCCTCATGTAAATTGGTGGATCCATTTGCTAAATGATGGAAATTGCAACCAATTAAAATGACTGCAACACTTATTTTCTTTCTCCCTTCTCCTTTCAGCTTCAGGACAGGGAAGTGCTGGTCACGCTGCTGGTGGGAGCCAAGTATGGGATGAGTCAGGTCATCAACCACAAGCTCAACGTGATCTCTACGCTGGTCGAGTTCAGCAGCATTAGCCGAGTGGAGCTGCTCTCGGAGTCGGACAAAGTCAGCCTGCTGCGCATCTCGCTGCATGACATGAAGGTGAGGGGGCCTTAGGTGGGATATACATGTTCATCGAGTTGCAAGGCTGTATTATTTGTAAACATATAGATGTGACACGGATGTTCATTCACCACACTATATTCACGAACATGACACTAAATATAGGTCAAGCATTCTTTCTCTACTATACATGCGATATATAACAGTATACAGCCTAAGGCTAGCTATATATAATGTTAATTCATGAATGCAAAGGTGACTGTCTCTCCCTCTTTCTCCTACTCCATCGCTTTTCCCCTCTTACCCTTTGGCTTTAAACACTACTACTTTACCTTTTTTCTGCAATACCCTCCCCCTCTCAGCCATTTGCCTTACTGATGGACTCTCTGGCAGCCAAAGACTTAGGGTGTCTGCTGGGAGGCTACTGCAAACTCCTGGTGGATCCCAATGTCAACGTCTTCCGTCTGGGGCGCCCAAAAGTGAGGGTGCACCGGATTCCTGCTGAAGAAGGTGTGTGTGGGAGGTTCGCCGTAATAGAGGGCGTGTGCTATGAATCCCTATCAAGTGAGCAAAAACTGTTTCACTTAAAACTTATGATTTTCTGGCTTTGGCCTTTTTGATAGCCTTTTTTTCACCTCACATGTTTATTTATGTCACCATCCAGTACGGATACGGATAAAAAAAAAAAGATAAGATGTCATATTTTTTTTTTACTATCAAAAATTAAATATTATTCTCCTTTATGAATGCACTAACACAGCTTTCGCAATGCTTGTCTGGTGTTTGTGCACTTTCTGGGTTTTATTAGGTTATGTGTCTCGCTGCTGCAGTGACTCAGACGACTCAACAGACGAGGATGACCCGATGGATTCTCAGAATTACAAACGCCCAGACCCAGCAAGTCAGGACTGGGAAGAGAGGAGAAGAGAGGAGGAAGAGAAGAGGAGAGAGGAAGAAAGAAAAGAGAGAGAGGAGCACAAAGGCAAACAGGAAGTGAAGATAATAGTGACAACAGAAGGTAAAGGAAATGAGAGTCCAGATGAAGGAGGAGCAACAGGAAGTGGTCTGCATAAATTCAGTGTTATGGATGAAGAAATGAACCTGGACTCTTCCTGGTACCACACTGACCTGCGAGTCACCAGCAGCTTCTCCAGCTTGTCCAGCAGTTCCTTGAGCACTGCACTTGAGGAGAGCAGTGCTGCCAGCAAATCCAAATCTCGCCTTCACGGGCCGCACGTAGGCGAGGATGTTCCGAGTTTTGATGTTCACCACCCCTACCTCCTGGAGCCAAAACGCCATCAAGGGCCACGTAGACCCACTAACCTCAATTACCGTGGGAATGACAACTCTTGCCTCTGCTTTGCTGACCTCTCCAAGTCTGATTTCCTACCAAGCCCTCCTGGGGCTACCAGTGATGACGATGATGATGATGAAGAGGAGGAAGATCGGGGAGCTGAGACACTTAGACGTATTTCTAAGATTCCTAGTTCAAGAGATTTGAGAATGATTGACAGCATACCCTTTCAAAGATCACCTATTAAAAGAAAGAAAAAGACTCCTCCCAAAGTCCCAGTAAGAACAAGTTCAATTCCTGGGAGCAAAGCAGGAAAGGCTGAGAACCGCCTATCAAAGGATGAAGACAGCATGTTTCTGACACCTTCACCCAACCCCAAGCCGAATCTTTTGGTCAAAGACAATGTCTCAGACTCTGAGGATGAGTTTTTCGATGCACAAGAGAGATTTACTCCTCCAGTTCCTGATCTCTCAGGTTTGTTTACAGCATGCTTGATAACTTAGTCCCTTGTCTGTGATGGTATATTTATCTGTGTACTGGTGACATGTGACAGCACTGTGACTACGATATGTTGAAAGGAGACGGGACAATTGTGAGAAGATGTGTGTCGGTCCATTAATACCTGTCTTTCTGTTGTTTTCATTTCATTTTTCTTATTCTCTCACAGATGCAGAGCTGGCTGACCGACGCAATGCTAATCGTTTGAGTGGAACCTGGAACAGTTTTCCAGCTGTCGCGCGGAAAGAGCCATCATCTCCACTTGCCAATAAAAGCCAATCCTATAAAGCCAAGAAAGAAGCGGATACACTTAAAGCCCCTTCAAATCAACTCAACAACCAGCAAGGCAGTCCTTCAAAGCCATCACAGAAACCTGATGTTAAGGTCAAACCACCATTGGCACCGAAACCACAGCTGCCTCCCAAACCTCAGATCATTCCTCCCAAGTCTCCCCAGCATGGGAGATCATATGCCCAATGCAATGGAGATGCCTCTGGACGTTTGTCGTCGGAACTCCTTGAAATGGAGCCAGACACCATGGAGTTCAAGTCGGTCACATCAGGTGGATTGCCTATGTCGTCATCCTTGATCACAGCAGTGCGATATAGCAAGCAATCGTTATCACAAGATGAAGAAAAGACAAAAAGACAGGAAAGCAGCACGAAACAAAGTAAAGATCTAGGAAATGGAGCGCGTGCTGTTTCCAAAAAAGAAAAATACATTCCTGATGAATCGCAAAATCCTGAAGCTGAGGGGAAAACCAGTGGAACTGACCTGCTAACAAAGAGGCCAGCAAGCCTAACCCCAATCACTCGCTCTAATTCAGGAACTAAGCTAACAATACCCCCTCCAGTGCCTCCCAAACCCACTTCACCAAGCAATCTTCACCCCTTATCGCTACCTGCCAGCTCTCCCGTCTCTCCTACTGATCCAAGCAAAGGGATCTGTAAGGATGGCGTCAGTACTCCAAATGGAATTCACCCTTGGAGCAGTCGTAATGGGAGCATCCAGTCAGGACCTAGAAGGGTCTCACTGAGCCACGAGAGCCTTTCACCCAAAAATACAGATGCGCCTCTTACGCTTACCACCTCGCTGACCTCAACCAATTCTAAAGGGGGCCTAGAAAGCAGAGAATCTGGAAGATCTGGTTCAGGATCTGACCTGAGAACCAGCTCCTCCAGTCTAGGAGGCAGACTACCTGCCTCAGCCCTGAGAGGGAAGATTCAGGCCCTTCCTTGGTACATGACCCGTTCCCAGGAGATATTAGGAACTCTGGACTATCCGTCCACTAGTTCCATCAATGGCGACACATCTGGATTTGGCTCTGGTTTGTCTGTAGCCAGTGGCTTATCAGACCTAAACAAAACTCCTGTCAAGGACAAAGAGAGTGTGCCCTCAAAATCAGGAATCAAAGGGACCATTTTAGATGATGGAGCTGAAGTTGTCATAGCAACAATCAAAGAGGCCCAAGAATTGTCGGCACACATGAAAAAGGCCAGTGGAACAAACGGCTCCCACCCTAATCTAAGTTTTAGAGAAAATATTGCACGTAGCAGCAGCGTTTCATCAGAGCAGCCTCAATCGCGGTCTCACTCAGCAGTCGGGTTGGGAGGTGTGTCCAGCATGGAGATTGGAGGTGACTCACCGACCTCCTCACTGGCAGACAGCACTCCTCCACAGCAACACCGGGAGGCTTGTGGCTGCCGCACTGTTTACGCCAACTGTTTCAGCGGAGACACAGAGGATGGCGTTAGCTTTGATGATGAGCTCACAGTTTATGAGTTCTCCCGTCGCATACGCCCCAAACCTGTCCAGCCGGCACCTGCCCCGTCTCCTACAACAACACCCTCTCTCAAACCCAATATTCTTTCACTGCTGAGGGACAACCCTCGCCCGCTGTCTACTTTCTCTACAACTTCTTCTGAACTCAGTCCTCTTGTTTCATGTCCAGTTTCACCCACAACCTCATTTGGCGGCTCGCTTCGTTCCCTAACTAACAAGAATTATGGTGGGCTGAAAGGCGGCTTTGTCTCTCTTCGTCACGATATAGATCAGCTTCTTTTGGTCTTAGAACGAGGTGCACCTGAGCAAACAGAGCAAACATCATGCCAAGATGCAAAGCAAGATAGCACAAAGTTAAAAGTAGGGCCTGATCTAAATCATAATGGAACCGAAGACAGCCCTGCCCCAGAAGCAAGCCTAAAGTGTAATAGGATGACACCTGCTACCATGACAGAGGCCGAGAGGAGTCTTCTTCAGGCTGAGGCTCGACGGTTAGCATCTGGATGTCAACGAGCCACGCGGGTAGGCTGGGCGCCCGATGAAGCCCTGCGTTCTTTATCCAATAGTTTTAGTGCCCTGGTACAGCTGTCGGCAGCCTGTCTGCAAACAAACCCTTGCACTGGTTGTGACATGTGCCATAACACAAATCTGGTTCAAAAAGTTGAGGACAATGATGGCCAAGAGGCCATGGACAAGCTGAAAGAGATAGTGGGGCTGTATCGGGAGTTTGTTGGGGCTGTTGAGACAGCTGGAACTGGCGCTGGGGCAGGGGGTAGGAGCGGGGGCGTCAATGGGACCGTACAGGGTCAGGGAGAGGGCGACGGGGTAAGGCTGCTAGCCAAACGATGCACTGTGCTCATCTCGTCTGTATTCGCACTCACTCAGCTCTTCCGGACACCCACGGTAGAGCCCTCGGACACACCCGGACATGTACCTCTAAACTTTTGATCTGTGAACTTTTACCCACTAATAACGCACTGACTCTAGAGGTGAAGACAAGAAGAAGCAGCACAGAGCTATCTGGTGTGTAACGCTTGTGTTCTTGTACAGTAAGTGCCATGCACACCACAGCACAGCACACACATCACACACACACCCACATTGAAACGCAAACACCAAACACACCCCTAAAACGAAGCGATGTCACTTCGTTGCTAAACCTCTCCTTGGACGCATACGGACTATGCATTTGTACATATGAATTTTATAATTATCTTATAATTCTCTTATTTTATGATACAATATGTGTATGTATGTAATGATGAATTACCCATGTATGTATTTATGTATTTATTTTTACAATATTTGCACCATGATCTGTGACTGGCAGGTCTCTGGTGAGGAAAAAAAGAACTATGGATGTCACTGGAACTTTTTTTTTTCCCCTCCCCTTTGAGACAGTATTACGTTATCTTTTTGCTGCTTTAAATATTGCTCCACTCCACAAGGTGTAATCTGTAAATTGTCATTTTCTACGTTTATGATTACGGTACGTTTACTGACAAACTATAGGAACTATTCTGTATCTCACTTGCGAAATATAATAATAAACTGATTTGTTTTATATGTGCAGGTTTTGCACCTTTGTAAGGATTTAGTTTTTCAACATTACAGTCACGACTATACCATTACACAGCAGGGAGAGCACTTTTGACTGTTACAGATTGCACCTTTTTTTGAGACATGTACCCTTGTGTAAACTGTTTTTCTGCCCCTTCCCGGTCCATACCTGACTTTGTGTGAATGCTTCCTGGATATAACCCCATTACCCAATCGTATGCAGTATTATAATATTACTCTAGTTTTCATCCAAAGGACACTACATACAGTATATATTTTCTGGGAATGTGTGGGTGAGGTCCACCCAAACAGGGGACCTTATTTATGTAGTTTTTTTTTTTTTTTTTTTTGACGAGGCACAAGAGTGACTGTTAAACTCTATCCAGATGTAGCAAAGATCCAAAGTCTTAAAACACTGAGCCACAACTGTTCCCTGCCATTGTTTCGTCTTTGGGTGCACCACTTTATTAACTGAGTACTGACTGATGGATGGGCTGATAGTCAATGCTGGGGTCAGAACTGTAGATATACATTTATATCTCTGTGTCCTATTCTGTCCCTACTTTAGTTTATGGCTATGCAAACATAAACCCCTCAACCCCCCCACAAACTCTGTTGTTTTTTTGCGCTAACATTAAAAACAAACAGCAGCTGCATTATGTTTGCTTGAATATAATGGATGCTTTCTTTGTTTGGAATGTTGGTTTTTGTCTTGTTTCTGGAATGCAACATTTTGCAAGGTTGCATGGCATTAGCATTTTGTCAATATAAAGACTTCTGTCTATACTGATGTCTGTGAACTTTCAGTAAAAGGACTACGTTGCTCAATCGGTTTGCTGATGTACAGTGTTCACTTATCAGCTCCTCCATATCACATGACGCCATCCGATTTGAAGGATTTACTCGAGCCACCTACAAACAACAGGAAGCTAATTAAGCCAAATCAGTCAGCGGTTGCTTATTCAAATATGATAAGGGGATTAGCTGAAATAAAGACTGCTTAAGTGCTGAGAGACAGCTGGTGAGGGGAAAGGTAGTGTATTTAATCTTCCAGACTGATGACTGAGGGAAATTTTGTTAAGGTAGTTGTGCAGCGTCCATCACCGTGCTAACGTCAAGACGTTGTGTCTCAGGAGGGTCTCCTGTTGTTCATTAGGCTGGCTCCATCAGTAAAGAGTGCCTGTGTCACTAACTCTTTCCTGTACGGGAACATTGTATGAACAGCATTTCATAGTCAGAGAGTCCACTGTGTTTCTACAGAAGCAGCCACTTTTCCATCCCCACATAAAACATGAAGTTAATGTACCAAGAAATGTATTGTTTGGGAATAAATGAAACACTGACCTTAGTAATGCTGTCTTGAATATTTGGGAACTGTTTGTACTTTCATTTACCAACAAGCATTTCATGAAGCTCCATTCACAAATATCGAGTGTTATTTATGAGATCATAAGAGATATCACTGCACACCGATATTCAACCACATGGTGAATATTTCACTTCAGCAGATAAACTGTTTATGAATCTCATAGCCTCTGTACCATCTTTATACTCCAACTCCAAAAGTCTTGGGTCACTCCTTATTTCTTTATATGTTGCAAGGAAAACTGTAAATTGGTGCAACAATTTATTGAAATGTATGTAAAGATACATGAAACATACAGCATAAAATGCAAAAACAATTCTAGTGAACTTGAAAGTCAATATTTGGTGTGACCACTTTCATTCTTCACCATAGTGTGAACTCTCTTAGTAAATTCTTTAAGTAGTGTTCAGGAATGGTTCTCCAGGCTTCTTGAAGAAATAGCAAAGTTCTGATTTGGCTATTAGGTGCCTTTTGCTCCCTTCTGTATCAAGATGATCCCACCCTGCTTCAGTAATGTTGAGGTCCAGGCTCTGCGGAGGTCAATCCATGACTAATGGTGCTCCATTGTGTGCTTGGGTTAATTGCCATGCTTAAAAATGAAGCTATTGCCACTGAGATGCTTTCTAGATGGCAGATCAAAATATGATGGGCTTTTCTGCATTTGTAAATCCATCAATTTTGACAGGATCCCCAATACAACTGGCCATGAGAGACTCCACCACGTTTACACACTCCTTGCAGAGATATGCCAAGTATTCCTCTAATAGCACTTTGGGAATGCCTTGTTTACTACCTGTCAAACTATGTTGTCTGCTGTTTTCCACAGATTTAACTGAGGAAATTATTATGTGGTTTTGCAAAAGGCTACTAATAACAACGCTGCTACAGATATAATTTAAAACTGGTTTTTGCTAAGTTGTCTGTCAGATAGCTTAGCACTTCTTGAGTTTGCTGTCATTTTAATGCTTGAATTATCCATAGGTTAGATAGCTTAACAAATAAAATAAAAAACATTGGCCTGAAAATGGTCAGGTACAAGGACTGGACTGAAGATAAGAGCAAAAGCAGCTGACATCAAAAACTACCTCTACGAAGCCTGGAGAACGATTGCCCAAGAGCAATATAACAAATCTGGTTTATTGAAAGCATAGTATAAAGAAATGAGGGGTGGCTCAAGATTTCTGCAGAGTACAATAAGGAATGAAGATTGTAGGATTGTTTTTTCAGTGTTAATTTCCTACAGTTTCAAGATGGCAATGTTTATCTATGCATGAGGCCACCCCCTCCCCTTTTTGCTTTTTTTGGTACTGGTCTTCAAACTATGTGGAGAGCCAATTAGCAGAGTTCAAGCAATATTTCTGCTACTATGATTAAAACTGATTTTTAGATAAATTTGCACATAAAAAAGTTAGATTTCATCTAAGACAGCAGTCAGAAGGACACTTGATGTGGTGCAAAGAGAGCTGAGAGGCTTTGAAGCAACAGCAGTTCAGCGCTTCTTGATCTAAAGTCCCTCTGTCAGATTGTCCTTAATCTGATCATTATCTGCTGTCAGACTTCTTGACACAGTAAGCTAGAAAGTAGTACTCTGCGCTGACCCAAAACTCAGTCTCAGTGCCGACTTGATGTCATTTCTTTTAAACAAAAATCCTTGTCACTTACAAAGAAGGGATTATAATTAATAAAAGGGAAAAACAGGTCGGATAGTTTACACATTATCATTGTATGACTCATAGGTACAGAGCAATGAGACAGAGGTCACAAAACATACACAAAAACAGTTTCATAACATATGTGTGTCTCAGTTACGTAAAGGAAAATCTTTCTTCTCTCTAGGTGAAAAAATGACAGTCAGCTCATTTTTCCTGAAGTACTTCTGTATTTATTCAGGTTTTAACTGAGATTTAAAACATTTTAGCACAATTACTAACGTGACATTTAAATTTTGTAGTGATCCAGAAACTTTTGCTTCAGGAAAGTGATAAACAGCGTTATTTGATACACTTTTGAAGAGGATATTAGAATGAAAAGACTTGAAGAAATAGGCCAAGTGATCCATTTACATGGCAGCTTGAGCTTTTTGTGCCACTGAACATTACCCTCTGTCCTCGTCTTCTCTCTGTGCCACTACTCTGAAGCCTCTCTCTCAAGTGTCCAAGTGGCATGCCTTTCCTCTTCGGGCTCTCGAACTCAGCAAGAGCTGCAGTATGGTGACTGCAGCTACTCAAGCTTGAAATCTGAGCCCATTATGTCAACAGATGTTACAGACAGAGGGGAGAGCAAGCGTGACAAGAGAAGATATTAAAGTGAGAGCAAAAGGGGGAGAGATACATAAATAAAATAAATGGCAGTAAGTTTTAAAAAAAAAGAAACAACCAGTGAGGAACATTTGTCTCATAGCCAATAAAAGAGCACTAGTGATGCAGGACTCAACCACAGGTCTTCTTCTCCTATTTGTCATCTTACACATCAAGACTGTTTTTTTTCCTCCCTGTATTTCAATTACAAAAACTGACAAGAGAGTACACCACAGGGCACTTATCAAAACACACACACACAAAAAAAACAAAATAAACAAAAACAAAACCACAAAACCAAAAAAAGGAAAAAAAAAAAAAAACCCACACACTGGCAATAGCACTTCAGAAAATAAATCAAGACAAAACATTATTTAACAAAAATGTCAATTAACTGACTCACGTGTGAAAAACTGAGACCTTTTTGTTGTAAAAAATAGAAAAAAGGGGGAAAAAAAACTTCTTATTTCTTTTTTCCTTTTGTTGAAAATTCCTAGACTTTGTGCACTGCTAATACTGATTTCAACAGTCACTTAAACATTTGCCTTCTTATGTCTTACTTCAATCTGAACTGGTGAGCACAAGAACAATGCTCTAAACATGGGGAAAAAGCACAAAGCTGTTTAAGTGGCAGAACTTATCTTCACAGGAGGCGGCGCTCTTGGTCAAACAAACGTCACAGCAAACAGCATGTCCACAGAGAGGGATTCTCCCACAAAACAGGAAATCACTCAAGTTTTAAAGTTTCCTTTTAAATCTTTGAAAAAGATTGATGGAGTTTTGTTTGCGTCCTCAAACTTTACAACACAGACCAAACACGGGCATATTAACTGGACCCTGGCACAAGTTTTGCCTGCTTTTAACAATTTGACAACAGCAGAAAGTAACAATAGCAGGCAGTTATCTTACAGTGACTGTTGGCCCCAGTCAGAAGTACAACTTGGCTGTTATCTTTTAGTTCTGGAAATGTTGGACAGCAAGTGCACCGACTTTACTTTACAACTTCTCATTTGTCACTTTAGACTGGCTCTGTTCCTCCGCTCAACACCCCTCCCTTAAAACACTTTCTCTTCCACTCTAGATCTCATTTGTCCTCTCCATTCCTCTTCTCATAAGAGCTTCAGCAGCAGCTCATAGGTGGCATTGATGATCCCCCAGGAGAGAAGAGAGCGATGGTAGTTGAGGTGAGCTCCTCTGAACAGCATGGCTATACTGCCACCCCTCTCTCTCCACACTGTTAACAGCACCTCTCTGCAAGGATTGAAGGCTCCACCCACCTGAGACTGAGCCCGCGATTTGACTACATTTAACGGGTAGAACATGATGCCAAGGCCTGCCCCCAGCAACCCTCCGCAAACAAAATCATTAACCAAGTTACCTGCCTTGCTAGTAGCTTCTGGGAGCTGCTCTTTAATGGGTCCCCTGAGCCCAAAGAAGAGAACATTGCTAGGGCCATTGCGCAGTAGTATGGGCACGAGGCCACGGTAGCACTCTCTCACACCATACTCTGTCACAAGTGTCCGGAAGGTGTGTGCTGTGTTGTTGAAGCGCCCGTGGTGCCGGTGGTCTTGTAGGAGAGTCTGCACACGCTCAAACGGTGTAAGGATGGCCTCTGCAGTTCCTGCCAAAGCTGCAGCAAAGCTTCTTGTAATCAGCTCTGGCACGCCACTGCTCCCAGCCTGGTCTAGTAAGACTCTAGAGAAGTCCTCATACAAGCCAAACATGATGGCTACTGTAGTGCTCTTTTGGAGAAGTGGGGGAAGTAAGCCCCGATAAAGATTCCTCAGTCCATCCCTCTGGAGCTGTCGCACCGCATCGATGGCCAACACGCCATGCAGCTGCTGGCGGAAGAGGACTTTCTGGATCGGAAAGGTCAACAATATATTGGTAAAAGCTGCAAGGGAACCGCAAACATAGTGCTTCCCTTGAGGTCCAAACCTGGTGGTCAGAATGCCAGCAGACAACAGGGAATGGCCTCCTTTTGTCAGGGCTTGGGTCTGAGGTGTCCGCGCTGACTCGGAGTCCATGGTGCTAACAGCCATCAGAGGCCCGGTGCACCACAGCCTTATCCTCTAGCATCACATCAACACACTTCTGTAAATTTATGAAACACATTAGAAAGAAGAAATATCAGCAGGTGTTTTTTTTTTTTTTATCTCTTCACCCAAACAAAGATATTAAGTATGACATTATTTGTGAAGTACAAATAAAAAATAAATCTGTGGCTCATATTCTCTAAATGTGGCCTAAAGCTGGCTGAACTTTTCCAACTCAATAACCTGCCTTAGACTTCTACAATTACACTGCAACAACTGGCAACTGATAAGAGTATTACACAACTTAGCAGCCTGGTACATGCACGCTATGTCATGAGGGAAGCAAACCTGTTATGTACAGACTACACCCTTTATTTGCCTTGAGCATTAAGTTTAGTTATTTATACAAAACATGCAACGCATACATCCTGTGACATACAATAACAGCAGTACAAATAGATGCTCCCACCAAAATTATAAGAAATTGTCAAAAACATCTTTAGTATATAAAGCAACAGAAAGGAGAAGTGGTGGTAATGGTGCAAGGTCAGGAGAGGTCAAAGGAAATCTACCAAAAGACTCTTGACACAGTTTTAAGTCAGTATTACAACACGAGACGACCACATGGCTGCTTTTCCATGAAACTGCATTGTGACATTGAAAACATCTGCAAGTTTAAAGTAACCAATATTTTTGTATCTCTGCGCCTCTTTGTTGCAGATTTGCTTCCATGATATTTTAGAAGAAATTACCCAACTTCCCTGCGATGAAAAATGTACATTTCATATCGAAGCATACAGATTACTGTTAGAATTGTGACATCTAATCAGAAATACAGTCCAACCATCCCTTTTATTATGCTGCATCTTGCATGTTATTGCATAACTAAAACAATAAGTACATTACATTTACTTTGGATATTCGACTGCACCTTCTTGCTTAAAACCTCTACATTTACTTTAAAATAAGTCATAATCTAACACAGTAAGGTACTATTGTCGCACTAAATAAACTATTACTCATAATCTTATTTTGATCTTGATATTTTGACTCAAATTTGAGCGGAAACAAACCTTCTTAACACAGCCTAATCTTAGGCGAACACGCCCTCTGTGTACCGTTTCTTTAGGATTCAGTAACGTGTCGCATCATGTCGGTTACGCAAACAAGATTTTTCCAAGTCTGGTACAAATAGCAAGACCTCTCGAACATAGAAACACTATTACTTATTTTCTGTATGAATTACTTAGTAAGGACAAACACATCACTGAGGAGTTAGCACGCTTAGCGTAGCAGCCACACATATAAATGATGGACTGGTTTGCTAGCTCAACGGTGCTAGTACCTGCACCCCACGCTTACGTTTACGTTTAAGATAAAATGAGGAAGTGATGAGATATATAGTCACTGCATGCTACTCAAAGACATTTGTCCAACTAGCATGCTAAGTGGCTAGCAAGAAGAGAGTCAAACGGACAAGTGTTGATCCATGTTTGGTTGGAAATATGTCCGCTGCCACTGAAAGTCAACAGGCAAAATAAGAGTCGCGTAGTTTTGGTCACATAAGGACCTGGCCCACAACTGAACCTTTACCTGCAGTGAAACCAGCCGCTGTCCTAACCCTGGACAGGTAGAGCGCTGCTTTCTGCTGGGTAATTGGGCCACTACTGTAGGTCGTGTCTTCAGCCCTAACAAACGCAGGTGACAGCAGTGCTTTTCCACGCCTGCGCACTGCTGTCGATCCGAAACCGTATGCATGGGGTAACGGCTGATTCGGAGGTAGTTTTGGGATTTATTTTAGAATTTATTGTATTTAACAGTGCAAACCTCAATAACTTTAGTTTTTTAAATTTTCCAGATTTTTTTTAAGTACGTCATATCAGAATAGTCGTGTTACAATTGTTCTTATTTTTGTTGTTGTATTTTACCTGATCCGGTAGCCATTCGACGTAGCTGTCGTAAAACGACACAAAGCGTCGTCACGTCACTATCGTAAAGCTAGTGAGTGCGTCGGTAAATAGAGATTTATGTTTTACTTGCTTTCGCTTCTCATTATAAGCGTAGTAGTTATATTGAAATAGAATAGTTGGATAATAGGCGGTGGTCTGATGATCAGTTATTGCAAATATGCCGGCTGAAAACCAAATAGCTGACGCTAGCTAGCTAATGTGGCTAACTGTAGCGTTACATTTGGCTGCTACATTAAAACACGCTTGCATATTTTGACATTTTGTCACATCCGGCACCTAAACCCAGAAATATAGAATGTCAGCCCAAAAGGACTGTGAGTTTTTGGTTAAAAGAGCCCGGGAGCTGGTCTCTGATGATCCATATGCTGCCAAAGCCTGGCTCATCACTGCCAGGACCCTTTACCCTGCAGACTTCAACATACAGGTAACGCAAATCATCTCCTCTAGCTGCAAAAGCTGTCAGTAAAAACATCTTCTTACACATTGTGTTTCTGGACCTGTTTTTACAGTATGAAATGTACATCATTGAACGTAATGCAGAAAAGACAGCTTCAGCCGGGCGGCTGCTGTACGACATGTGAGTTACATTTTTAGCGTTAATGTCAAGTTTCCTATCCTGAGTCTGACCTCTTACTTAGTTTTGATTTCCCTTTAGGTTCATAAACTTTCCAGATCAGCCCATTGTTTGGCGTGAGATCAGTGTTATTACAGCTGCCCTGCGGAGTGACTCTCAGGATAAGCAGGCACAGTTTCTGAGAGGTGAGAGGGTTTTAACCCTTCATTGCATTCATTAAAAAGTGTGACAATGAACAATGCTTCTTGTGAAAATCTAAAGACTATTTTTTTTAATTTTTTTATTTTCAGGACTTTTTGAGACACTGCCTGGTCGAGTGCAGTGTGAGATGCTGCTGAAAGCCACGGAGCAGTGTTTCAACACTTTGGAGAAGGCAGAGATGCTGCTGTTGCTGCTGAAGCGCTTTCCAGAGTCTGTGGTTCAACATGGGGTATGTAATATTAGTATTTGCATTGTCTTTTGAAAACTATATGTAATGTTAAAAGCTATTAAAGAACCTGATGTGCTGTTAGGTCAATTTAGGAGAGACATTGCTGGAAGCAGAGGCATCAGAGAATTTGGAGACTCCTGTCAACTGCTTCAGGAAGCTTTTTGGTGAGTACATATTGTCTTTGAATCCATTTTATTTCATCTGAAAAAACAAACAACACTTGCTTCATACAGTTTTTTTCCTCCTACAGTGTGTGATGTGCTTCCTTTGGTTATAAACAACATGGATATGCGCCTGCCTGCCAGCCTAATGCAGAAATACATGTTGAAAGCAGCAGAATTCTACATTGGCTATGTTACCCGTGGGCCCTCGCCGGATGGACAGATACAAGGTGAAGATACACTGTGGTGAACTTGTTCTTTGCTTTCTATTTTAGGGCTGTCACAGTGGGATCACTTTCACTCTTAAAATTTTCAGTTCTCTAGTAGGCTTTATAGTGAAGCCTTTGAAGTATTTATTTTTTCTATTTACTTTGTTTCTCTTGTTTTCTGTTTCAGGCTCTCAAGAAGGTGGTGCTCTGAAGTCACCGAGTGTGTCACGAGCTTCCCAGCGTTACGTGATTGATGGTCTGACAGAAAAATCGTCAGTGGTGGCAGAACCTTGGGAGAAACTGCTGGATATTCTTGCTGTGGTTGGGGCACGATGTGAGTGGCAGGGAGACAAGGGACAGAGGTAATCTATCACTCGGCCTGTCACATTGTTATTTAGCTACTGCTGTTGTTCCTGCACAAAGGTGACATAAAGTGTAGGATACTTTGCTCAGGGATACCTGATTTGTCTGATCTTGGACGCTAAGTGGGGTCAGGCCTGGAGAGTTTGCCTGGGAATACCAGGTCCTGTAAGCACATGACCTTTGGGTGGTTGTGGCTCAGGTTGTAGAGAGGGTCATCTACCAATCAGAAGGTCGGTGGATCGACTGAATCGCAAGTTTCTGTCAGAGCGTCCATCAGAGTGCTGGTTGGTGTGTGAATGCTAGAAAGCACTTAGGCATAGGTAAAAGGGCTGTATGAATGTTTGTGCGATTTGATAGAGCACTTTGAGTGCTCAGCCAGAAGGGTGCTTATCAGTCCATTAGTTTAGTAAGTACACTGTGCAAGTGGCATTGTTGAATTTTGTTACTACATTATATGTGATGCAGAATTATAAATGGTACAGGAATACTGTTGCAGTTGTCAATTATGGCTTCTTTTTATTGTGTCTTTTTGGTTTTCTGTTATGTGCTTTGTTATACTGTGAGCTTTTTATGAGGTATTTATGTTTTCTCTGAGAAACTGAATGCTATCTGCTACCTTCTTGTTTTATGTTCATGTGTTGTAAATGTTGGATTGAGTGTTTAAGGACCCCAGGAAGAATGCATTTTTTAAAATTACATTACAAGTTACATTGTGGGTAATAAGTAAAAAAAAATCTTAATTTAATCAAAAACAAACACAAAAAAAACACCACATAATAAAACAAATATAATGTGCCCACATGTAAAATGTAAATAATAGATGGTTAAAATGTGGATCGTTCAATGACTTTGAAGTGATTATTTAAAATTAAAAATTTCAAAGGAATATTTTCATGTGTTTATTTGCACTGTAGGAGTTATATTGAGATGCTGCAGAGAGTGAAGGAGCTGTGTCGCTACCTGCCTGGTCTAGAAGGAGAGACGAGGGCCCGGTGCTGCAGTCAGGTGGTCATCTGTGCTGCACTTGTCCTCTTCCGTAGTGCCTTCTTCTACGTCTCAGCTGTACAGCCTGCACTGTTCCACGGTTAGCTTCTACCTTTGTAGATCTCCATCTTCATTTAATATATCTACGGTAATCTTTTGAGTAAAATGTTACAAACAGGTTTCAGTGTTATTTTTTTTTCTTTTTAGGAATCAGTGGGTTAAGTTGCGGGCCGTGGATCCTTGTAGAGGATTTGAGCTCAGTGTACAGTGATGTGGAGGTGGAGCGAGGAGCACTGAAACATGCGCATAAGAAACGCAAACTAGCAGATGGAAGAGAGAAGACTATGGTGAGAAAAGTTTAGATATAAGTAAGACACTTTAATTATCCCAGATTGGGAAATTCTTTTGATTACATTTGGATCTGTGTGTCATTATAGAGCTCAGATGATGAGGAAGGTTTGGGGAAAGGCCGTGGTCGACACATTTTAGTAAACAAGAATGACATGACCAACTGGTCAGAGACTTTGGAGAGCTTTCGCACAGCGAGAGAAAGCTGGGACCTTCTTCACTCCCATGATGGTCTGGAAGCTGGTAGGAGATTTTTATGTTCAGTCATGTTGTCACTACATCAAAAGGTTGTTATCAGAACAGCTGCATTAATTGTACATTTTAATGTCTCTCAAAGAGTTCAAGAAGATCTGCGCTGCGTGGAAGACGGACAGCTGGCTGTGGTTCCGAATATTCCTCACCGACATGATTATATACCAGGCAAGAGTCGTTTTTAATTTACCTTTTCTGTTTGTGATAAATCATCTGCATCCCTTTTATTTGTTAGCAGCAGCATCTTTAGCTTATTATCTTAGCTTTAGGATCAAAATATGCCATCATTTTAATACTGCTTTGAATTAAATAGCCCTGATCGATGTTGGGAAATGCAATTATTGCATAAGAAAGAACAGATTATACAGATGCAGGCACTCACTGACCACTTTGCCTTCAAAAATTCCCTGTGACATGGCATGTTATCCTGCTGGAAACAACCAGAGAAATCAAAAGATGGCTACTGTGGCAATAAAGGGATGGAGATGGTCAGCAAGAGTACTCAGTTAGGCTGTGGCTTTTAAATGATCCTCTCTGGAGTTTTTTGAGTTACCATCATCTTCCTATCAGCTCAAAGCCATCTGGACCTTCGCCTCTGACCTACAGATATACCTAATAAAGTGGCTGGAGAGTGTACATTTTAAGTTATATAGAATTTGAAGAATGAGGCAAATGCACGCAATAAAACTAAACACAACTGGTTGAAGTTGGCAGATGAAACTGGCTATTTTAATATAATTTAAATACACTTAAGCTAACACATTAATCAACATTTGGATATAATATCTTTTCTAAGTTGTCTTTGGTTATATACTGATTATGTGCTAATGTATTATCTCCAGGGACAGTACCGCAAGGCCCTCTCTAGCCTGCACCAGATGGCTGCAGTGCAGCAGCCTCAGCCTGGGCCACAGAGTCCCTCAGGTCAGGCCAGTCTGGAGCACCACAGGGCCTTCATACAGCAGGCATCCTGCCACTACGCCCTGGGAGAGTACAGGGTATACACATGCACACAAACACACTCTTAGCATACATTATTTTGGTTTTGTCAGGAGACATGCATATGCTTATATGCCTTTCTTTTTTATAAATCATGTCAAATGTATTTATACAGTATGTTTTAAAACAAATGTAGCTGAGTGAAGTGATGAACTGAATTTGAGAATGTGCCCACAATGTTAAGGCAGAAAAAATTAAATAAAGAAAATAAAGACAGTAATTGATTGAATATTTTAACGTTTTTATTTATTATTTTATGAAAGCACAGCTGGCAGGAAATATACTTTACTGTAACATTTATTGATTCACATTGAAACTTTTGATTTATAATTGGTCATATATAATTTATTTGTTTTATTTTTTTACATATATATTTACTTAAAATATGTGATTGTATAATAAAATGTTCTGCAGGCCATGTATGAAAAACAATTCAGTGACACTAACTGGCCTGAAGGTGGCACTACAGTTAAAATGGGTTAAATGTCCTAGATTCAATTCAGGTGTTTAGAACAACTTGCATCACTTTTATTCAATTTTCTCTAAACCAAGCTGACAGACCTGGTCCATCACAGGCCTGTCATTTAGTCCGTTTTACTATATTAGTATTCTGCTCATCAATAAAAGTTTTAGAAAGTTTCTTAGCCTAACAACATGTCCTTTGTCCAGTCAAATTGTGTGTAATAGTTTTGTATGGTGCTGTTTCTTTTGACAGATGGCCTGTGAGAAGCTGCTTGAAGTTGTCAGTGGCCTAGTACCCCCAAACCAGGAAGCACCAAAGACCCCAGAGGATCCAGTTAGAGTCAAGACCAAAACGAGGAAAGGTAAAAGTTTCCTGAATCTACTCACCGATTCTGTTTATGAACAGTTTTGATTTTTTTTTTTTTCTCGCTAATCTGAGATATGAATACGTTTGTGGCATCTTCATACAGACTCTGTATGAAGACGTCTGTATTTATATGTTGCTTTGAGTACTGTTAACATTCCCTGTTCTTTGGTTTTAACCAGGTAATGACTTGCGATTACTTCCGTGCACCAGCAAATCTGTGCTGCCGTTCTGTCTCCAGCTGATGCTTGCCTGCTTTAAGGTACATAGACAGGATACATCTGTGGAAATAAGTGGGTGCAAGGGCTTGGATACGTTTTCTTATGCAGACTTTGAGGAGACAAGCTCCGTGCTGTAAGGCTTAATGAGGCTGTGACAATTTTTGTTTCCTTTTTTCCCCTTTTTTTGGCCAATCAGCTACGTGCCTTCACCGACAGTCGTGACGACCTGTCCCTTGGTCACGTGGTGGTGCTCCTGCAGTACGACTGGCCACAGGGCGAGATGCTGTTTTTAAAGGCAGTGGACAAAATCTGCCAACAAGGCAGCTTCCAGTATGAGAATTTCTTCAACTATGTCACCAGTATCCTTTTTGCATTCATTTCTTGCCTTTATTTTGGTGTAAATAGACAGTTCTCTTTGTGATTCCTTTATGTGTTGGATGTTGGTTTCCTTAAACTCGTGGTTTTTCTCAGACATTGACATGCTGGAAGAGTTTGCATACCTGCGTACTCCAGAAGGAGGTAGAATTCAGCTGGAGCTGCTGCCCAATCAGGGAATGCTGATCAAGTAAGCAACCTCCTTCCCATTATGAGCTTTTCTTTAGTTGGCATCGTGACTGCACTCTCCCTTTCTGTTGGTGTGCTTTTAAAAGAGGACAGTGCTACCGACTGATCTACATAGACAAGGCCCGTGGGGAAAATTGACCTTTTTAAACTGAAAAAGCTGTAAATGGAGTGGGCGTTTATAAAGAGAAGGAGTTCATGGTTTCAACTGTTTTCAGACTCCTTCGTTCATTACTGTAGAAGTTCAGACGTTTGAATGCACCCTCACTGACAGAGTTGTTGAATGTTGCTGTCCCTCAGGAACCCTAGCCCTGCCCTGGGGGTGGAGTTAAATACTCTCCTGCTACAAGGGGTGCAGACGATGGACAGGTACCCCAGGCCCCTCCTCCCACAGTCCCCATCCCGCCCCCACCACCCCACCAGTCACCCTTCCTTCTTCATCCCCAGCTTCAAGGCTTGTCATCCCCCAGTTTTAATTTGGGCCTGTCATTTTACATCAAGAGTTAGTCGTTCTTTGATTTCTGTCGGCGTTTGTTTATTTGAGCCATTACTCGCCTTTCTGTGGTCATCACTGTTGTTGTTACAGAAGACGATGTTGGTGTTTTTGTATAGTGAATTTAGTTATTTTGCCTTGTCATAACACTTGATCTCATTTCATGTGTGGACATGTTTCATGTGGTTTTGATTATTATTATAATGGAATGTTTTATTTTATGTTTTATTTGAAAAGACTGAAAATGCTGTTTGGCTGATTTATGTGTGTGTGTGTGTGTGTGTGTGTGTAAGGAAAATGTAACCTGAAGTATTTATGAGTTATTTTTATTGCATAGGTTATATAATCTAAGCCTCTGTTTATTTTAAGGTATCTCATAAAACCCTATTTCTGACTATGTCTATGTTTGCATTTATTTTTTTTTTAAAAAGTCTTTTTCCTCTTCCAGACACCACACAGTGACTCGAGGAATCACCAAAGGAGTGAAGGAGGATTTCCGTCTGGCCATGGAGAGGCAGGTGTCGCGTTGTGTGGAAAACTTGCTCGGTGTGCTTCACCGTTTCTGCATTAACGAGAAAATAATCATCATCCAGTCGCTCCCCTGACACCTGGACTTTAGCTTGTGAGGTTTCAGGCACAATTTAAATGCAAGTGGACTGACTTAATGACCAAGAAAGCTGATTCTCTGCAGACACATTTCCAGCTCTCTTGTTTTTCTCAGCCAGCACTGAACTCTTAACATGCAGGCTTATTCTTTACCTTCATAGTGAACTTCTCTTTTTAGAGTGTTAGCAACAATACTGATAGACAACTGCTTTCATTTTCACATTACAGTATGTGTATTTTTTCTTCATTAGTGGTACAAAGTAGAGATGGTAACATAAATAACTACCACATTTCATATTGTGATGTCTTGCCGGAGTCAGTAATGACAGAAAACTTAAAGTGCATTTTTGATACTTTTTGTTAGGTTAATGTTTTTGCTACAATCTTGAATCAAATTGTTAGTTTGTATGGATGTTTCCATTAAATGTTACTTGAATGGTTTAAACAGGTTTATGTGTTATTTCATAATTTATACATTGCAATCATATCAGATGGTCATTAAATGCTAATTAAACAAATGAGATAAATTAACCCTAAAAGGTGCCCGGTCTTTAAAGGTGCAGGGTAGCTATGACGTATTTCCAGTGTATCCAAATGTTTTTGTTGCCTTTTTTTACCCCTTTAATCTGTGTCCCTCTTCAAGTCTTTCCTCCTGCTCTACTCACAGAAGTACAGGAACATTTGGCAGGTCAGTCTGTAGGGCAGCTCTGAGGTTAGCCCAGAATAACCTTTGTTTTGCCCTGTCTTGAGGCCACTCCAGATATGTGTGGTGGTTCATCATGGACTTCAGCTGGTAGTACTTGGATGGGATTAGGTATTGAGGCAGAGGCTCAAGCAGTACCAGCACAATGCTGTCTGAGCCCAGAGTGAGACGTTGGTGGGTGGCGAAGTAGAGCTCGTAATGACACCACTCGCTCTTGACAAAGTGAGCAGAGAGGACAAACACAGAGCGCCTGCATTTCTCCACACAGCTGATGATGTTCTCAATGATTGTCTTTCCTGGCACAAAATGTTTCTCGTGATGACAGATTCTAAGCCCTCCTGCGGGGCCTTCGAGGTTGGGAAGAAGGGAATTGCACACCCAGTCAACATCGTGCTGGCTATAAGACACAAACGCGTGGAACTCCAGA